TATATAGACTAGAGATAGACAGCAGCAAGTCAAACATTATGGCCAAATTTTGTTAAGACAGACATCTCTTCTGTTTATCAAGGCTGATTAATAATAAAATGTAATAATAAACATATGAATAAATAGCTTTATACTTTATTTTAAGGGTAATTTAATTCATTTTAATGCAGTTTAATAATGTTTCTAGGTTACTTACTAGTATCACTCTAGAAAAATGTGATATGTAAAAAAAGGAAAGGAGTGGTCACTCATTACCCAGTTTTTGTACTGTAATTTGCATGACCAACCCAAGCAGTATTTCCCTTCAAATACTAAAAATGTCAATAAACGTCACTTTGTTAAATACAAAGTTAAAGTTTTAACATCAGTAGTTGTCGCAGCAGAGATAAAGGTTTCATAAAGCTATCCAGAAGCATAATTAAAAGAAAAACCATAAAACATCTGCAAATCACAATAGAGACAATATTATGCAACTGGTAGGTGTATATATATATATATATATGTATATGTATGTATATATATATATATATATATATATATATATATATATATATATATATATATATATATATATATATATATACATACAGTGTAACTATTTAAAGACAAATTTATTTATTTTTAGTCTAATGTATTTTAAATGTATTCTTTTTTGTCTAAGTTAATTAATAAAACACTAAATTAATAATAAGTAAAATAAACAAAATCATTTAATTAAATTTTGGCGCATTTGTTGTTGTTTTTATGTGTGTGTTTTCATCAAATTAGCATACTGAATGTGATTAACATGAATCCTATAAGATCGAAGTAAAATGTTTTTAGATGGAATAATTTGTCATCATAATTTAGTGCAACCAATATATATATTTTTTATTTAAAAATGAGACAAAATACTCTGACCATTTCATACTGTATAAAAGAACAGGTGACCATAATGAAAGTCATTGTACTAATCATTTAATACGTTTTTAAATATCTTATCATTTTCTTTTCTTATCTTTTTCTAAATATCTTGTAAATATCACTGTTACACTAAATAACATTTAGATGTATTTTGTAAAGAATGATTAAAATAAATGAGACATTAATTTTTACCCAGAAAAACAAAGCCCATTAAACATGCCCTATATTTCAAACAGTATTGATGCTTGAAACCCCTTTTGACCCATTTATACTATTGACTGGCACCAAACTGTTCAACAATTCCTGTTTTATCACATCAAAAATAAAAGAGAGGCCTAACACTCATGCCAGAGTCCAGTACTACCAATGCTAAGCTCTTCTGACCCAATTCAACCAAATATTAAGACAGACATAGATCTTCAATTCCTGCCACCGAAATCACCATCATAAAATCAGCCTGCAAGAAGCTTATAGATTATGGATTAAGCAATTATGCAGTCGAGCTCACATCTGTTGGACGAAACGCAAGGCAGGAGAGATTGGGGGAGGAAGAAGCGAGAGAGAAAAGAGGTTACAATAAAGGGGGAATGTTTGGGGGCCATTATTGACAGAGTGACTCAGCCGTAAAGACCCCTGGGATTGTTAGCATTTGTGCCGAAAAGCCCTGTTGTGTTTGGAAGTCTTCATTTCTAAAGAGGCAAAAAAATATGATGTAATGATTTTTAAGAATGCCTGATCTCATAAGCAAATGTAACTGTTTTATAGGCTAGTGGCTAATTTGGACAAATTCAAGTTCAGTCCTATGAAAATGTATGATTTTTAAGGGAAGCATGGCACCAAACCTCACCCCTAAACCCAGCTGTAATTGGGGGATGAGCAAATCGTACTAAATAGAATGTATGGACACAGACTTTTAATTTCAGTAAAGCTTTCAGTCAAGAGTATAGTCATGCTGTTACAAAATTGTCGCATTTAAGACCTGATTTCTTTAAGAATTAGTGATCTTCACTGACTGACTGAGATACTATATAACGTGGGTATCAGACCGGACAAGAAGCACTGCTTAAATAATACTGTTTCCCACCATGTCTTCAAAATATGGAAATTTATTTTACCCCAGTATTTTCAATGGAGTTTCTACATCTGCTGCTCCTGATGGTGCTTGTGTTTTCACAGTCTCTCATCTCGTTTTACGCCTGAACAACTAAATGGACGCTTAAGTCTATTTAACCGACATTTTAATTACATTACGACATCAATGCTGTGAAAGTTAATTGAAATGGTTTAAACCTTTCACCAGAAGTTTATCAGTTTCTGAAAAACACTACCTGTGCCTATTGTATGAATGAGATCATACAAATACACGAGATATTTGTTAACTAACAAATAGCTAAAAGGATGCTAATGTCAGATTTAAAAAGTGTGATTGTTTTGTTTGTTGTGCACAGTGCATTAACAAATGTTACAGCTATTGTTTTTAATTGTGTATTTTAAAATCTCACAGTTCTACTTTCTTCTCTTGCAACTTTTTTCCCTCACAATTAGATATAGACTTACTCCATGTCTTACAATTTTCAGTTTCTTTTAATTCTACCCATAATTTAAATAAAGAGGCTGATTGTTTCTTACATTTGCAAGTTTTCAACTTATTTTGATTTTTTTGTTTTGCTACTTTTCTTTGTCTTTTGAGAAATAAAAGCAGAATTTCGATATTTTTTCCTTTTTTTTTCTCAGAACTGTATTTTTTTGGGGGGGGGGGGGGTTTTGCAACCGCCAACTATTCCAGCATTCGTTTTACAGTGCTAGCCACTGAGCTACCATGCCACCTATTGTTAGTACATGTTAGCCAATGTTAAATCAAACTTTAAAACCTTCACTGGAAATGCCACAACTCCATGTTAGAGAAAGATAAATGTACACTGTAAAATCCAACTTTATCATATGAAATGAGTGTAGAACGTAATGAGTTAATTAAACACCTCATTACTTCAAATTAAAAGGAGAAAGTTTCACAGTACTCATAAAGATTAGTTTTTTAGGTGCCTTATTGGTTTTTACAGTACTCAGTTGGTTTGAGTTCTCTTCATTTATTGGGTTTTACTGTGCTCAAATTGCTTGGTTTACTCAAATAGATTCAGTTCACAGTACTCATTTGGATTAGTTTTGAACTTAAATGGTCTTTTGCAATCAATTTTCTCAAATGGTTTAAGTTACGTTCACTTATTGGGTTTTACAGTGTATAGTTCACCCAAAAACGTAAATACTCAATATTTATTTACAATTTAATCTTTGAGTTTGTTTTACATCTTCAAATGAACCCTCAAAAAGAAGATATTTTGAAGAACAGTGGTAAGTAACTGACTTCCATAGTAAAAGAAAACATACTATGGAAGTCATTTTGTACCAGTTTAAAACATTCTTCAAAATATCTTCATTTGTGTTCAACAAGAGAAAGAAACTCAATCTAGGAAGTGTGAAAGGTGCCTAATCATTGACAATTTTTTTATTTTTAAGCAAACTATCCTTTTCCTGGTGTTGAGTTGTGGCTGAAAGGGCATCCACTGCATAAAAAATATGCTGGATAAGTTGGCGGTTCATTCCGCTGTGGCGACCCCAGATTCATTAAGGGACTAAGCTGAAAAGAAAATGAATGAATGAAGCAAACTATCTGTTTAACAATAGTAAGAACAGACAGCAGTATCTATTGTAGTTAATCAGCTAACCTACCTAGTGTTGTTGCCATTTTAAGACATTATTTTGTAATATCCAAATGTAAGTGAGAAGCTAACAACATTGATTATGTATGTCTTTCATAGTTTTTCAAAAAATACTGAGCCATGTTTAAAATTAGCATATTTATGCACAAACAGAAGACCTGGGGCCTCATGTATCAACGCTGCGTACGCACAAAAACTTTGCGTACGCCAGGTTTCACGCTCAGAATCGCTCACGTTTGGATTTACTAACAATGAACTGAACGTGGGAATGTGCGCAGCTTCACGGCAGCTTTCTGGCAGGCGTACGCACATTTTTTGTGCGTGTCTGTTTTATTTCCATTGGCGACTCCTAGAGGCAGTTGTGTTAAATTCCTCTCTACAAAGTGTCTGAGCCTTGCAATGGCAGCTGTATGAGACGGGTTCAGCAGGTATATAAGGTTTCCATACCATATAGTTGACCAGCTAAACATTAAAGCACAATTTGCAGCAGTGGCCTGTTTTCCCAATGTAATCTGAGCTATCTACTGCACGCACATTGCTATAAAGACACTATCTGAAGATGAATTTGCATACGTGAATCAGAAACATTTCCATTCAATAAATGTGCAAATAAAATATGATGCTTATTGATATAAACTTATTGATGATTCCTACTTGTCTTTCTCGTGATAAATAGTTGGCAAAATCTGATATGTAGCGGGGGAAAAAACATGAGAGTTCATCAGACGCTAGATTCGAGCCGAGTTCATGTTCGAACGTATCAATTCATGATCACATGCGTCTTACGAGTAGCGCCACTGAGACTGTTAAGTGTCCTGCAACATTTTACAGATATAAACCACACTATTTCTTTTGTTAATGCACTCAGTGCGATGTTCAGACCCAACTGTGTTGACCGCATCAGCTAAACTCTCCCACTCTATTTTTTTCTTTTGTTGTTAATTCCGGAGAACAAACTTGCAAATAACACCGCTTTTCTCCGGTCTACCTCCGAAAGCAGCACCTCCAATTCACATTCTGTTCAAAGTTTCTCTTTTTGCTGGCTTTTGCCATTGCTTTTTCGTTGGGTTTTGCCATTAGCATAGTCATTAGCATATTCATACGGGGGAGGAGGCAGGGAGGGGTTTTGTGCTCGTGCATGTTGCGCTCAGTTTCACGTTCATTCAGATGTACAAAAGAATATGCGTGAGATTCGGCGTACGCAGTGTTTCATACATCTGAATTTTTTTCTGCGTACGCACATTTACAGCTTTGTGCGTACGCAATGTTTTAGTAAGATTTCCACGCAAGTCTTCGTACATGAGGCCCCTGAACTCTACAGAATATAGATGTTTGTTGAACCAAATTCCCACAGAATATAACACACAAACACAAGATGTCTTGGAAAAAAACAATTTTTATTCGGACATGATTGCTTTTGTGACCATCTTATTTCTTGTCTCGTCTCCGGAGTTACTTTAAAGGAAGAACCACAGGTTGTATTTATTCATGTAAATATAAGCTACTTGTAAAAAAACAAACAAAAACAACATCAAAATATGACATTCTTGGATATTTTAATTTAAACCAGTATGAAGGCTACACCATAGAAATGGCTTTTCATCGGTGAGGTGGAGAGATAGCGAAACAGCCAATCGGGGCTACGGGATTCATTTAAAGCCCCACCCCCTTGCATGCAAGTCAGCCAATCACAGTACAGTGTCTGCAAACGCACACATACACAAATGCACACATTCCACAATGTCTTGCTCTCTATAGAAGATCAAGACCGTAAACACAGTGGTCTGTTTTGGAGGAATCCGATTCACAAGAACCCCCTTTAGAAAACAACGCTGGACTCGTATGCTCTCCAGTGATTCTGAAAGCATATCACAGTGATGAACCGAAAGAGCATTCTCAGAAAAGACTTACAAAACGCCCCTGAAGAAAAGAGATGAGAGCACTATAGCACTGAGATGATGCACAGTACAGTAGATAAATCAACCGTAGCCAGACTGACGAGAAAAATGAGGTATGGATATTTGCCCTGTGTGTGTATGTTTGTGTGTGTGTGTATGTCATTCAACCCAGTGGAAACCCATCCCCAAGTTTTATTCAGCCTGGGCATCATAGTTGGCGCCGCCAGCTTTCTTGAGCTCAGTACGTAGGTATTCTTCCTCCAGCTCTTTGGGGTCGCTGATCATAAACTCCTTGGCAAAGGTCTGCATGTTAAAAAACAACAACATACAAAAACTTGAGTGATTGTTTGCACAGATTTGGTTAAAGTCGGATTTGGTTGGTATCTGGGTGTGCTAAATTTTATAGGAAATCTGGACAATTCTCATCTGCATGTTAGAGAAGGTTAAATATATAGTTCACATCAAAATACTTTTTATTTACAAGTCAATCTTTTTTCCTATTTCAGTCGAACACTTACAGTTGAAACCAAAAGTTTACATACACTCTAAAAAAAGGAACATTACCATTTTTAAAAAAATGTCTGATGGCAAATCATACTAAACGTTTACTATTTTAGGTTAATTAGGATTACCTTAATGATTTACATTTGCTAAATGCCAGAAAAACAAGCTTTTTTTGAGAATTTGACATTTCTAGACAGTCAAAAGTTTACATACATTTCCTTGGTATTTTTATAGGTTTCAGGGCTTGAAATTAACTTACGTACTTGGTAGCACCTGTTCTCCCAACCTGAAATATTTAGGAGCACCAGAAAAAACTTAGGAGCACCAGAAAAAACTTAGGAGCACCAGAAAAAAATCAGGAGCACCAGAAAAAAATCAGGAGCACCCACCAAAAATAAATGATATATTTGACAAGTTGTATATTAAGGGATTTATTGTATTTGAAAACAACATCAATTGGGACTAACAAAACACAGAAACAACTAACTAATGCTGTGATGACTTAATATTTGTGCAATAATTCCAAAAATGAATGTTGAATAATTATAAAATATTAATGATGACGATGATGACAATAATACTAATAATGAATTATATTTCTCATCATCATGCTGCCTTAAATGTGCTTTAATGCAAGTTATCTGCTATATAAAGTCCTACTGTTAATTTATGAAAAATAAATTGATGGTTTGCATCAAACACAAATGAAGCATTGTGGTAAGAAATATTTATTTTGTTTTATTGTTTATATATGCATGTCAATTTAATAATTGATATTTCTGCTACAAAACAAACGAAATAGTATCATAAATCATTCAATTCAATGCTGAAAGCTGCAAAGCAGTCATCAGTAATTAAATAGAAAAATAATATACACCTCAAGAAAGAACGGACAAAAAAAGGAAGAAAAGTCTCACTTTTAAAAGTTTTGGTTTCGGTTGGTTTCGGTGTCGTTTTAATGCTCAGCCTCGTTACGCGCCGAATTACATTTTTCTGTGTTTGCGGGAAAGCATGCGAGTCAGCCGACCCAATATATGAGGGGGGCAGGGCAGGATTCTCCCGATGACCACCGGCGCAATACTGTTCTTTGTTATAACCCGCATCAGTTTAAACTCAGTAAAGGCAAGCTTCTTTGGCGATGGTGTTTTAGAGGACATTTGCGCTGTTGCAGCCTGATCTCACGAGGAAACGTATGAAAATGTTACGAATTGCCGTGAGATCGTGTTGGCTGAACAGGCAGTGCACGCAACGCATCGAGAGTCAGTGTACTTTTTCGTTCCCTGCGGTCACAAAAGCTCCCTCCCTGTCGACTGACAGCGGAAAGTCTTGAGTGATTGACAGCTAATATGAACCAATATAGCGGCAGGGAAGACCGATTTTACCACGTTTTAGAAGAAAAAAAAAACAGGTTGCACTACAACTATTATATGCAGTCGCACGAATGCTCCCAATATATACTATGAGGTCGCATAGCTTAAATTTCAGGCGCATATGCGACCCAAATGGTTGCAATTTCGAGCCCTGGGTTTGCTTTTAAACTGTATAACTTTGGTCAAATGTTTTGGGTATCCTTCCACAAGCTTCTCACAATAGTTTGGAGGAATTTTGGCCCTTGCCTCTTGACAGAATTGGTGTAACGGAGTCAGATTTGTTGGCTGTCTTGCTCGCACAAGCTTTTTCATCTCTCCCCACAAATTTTCAATATGATTGAGATCAGGGCTTTGTGATGGCCACTCCAAACCATTCACTCTGTTGTCCTTAAAGCATATTTTAACTAATTTGGCAGTATGCTTAGTAAAGCTGCACAAATTATTCATAAAAAGTTCGCAATCTCGATTTGACCCCCTAGACGATCTTAATCCAGCATTTCTGCGATTCTGTCAATAATATTTTCAAGTTTAGGAGAGAAGCAATGGTGGCCGCACAAGTCTTCACAATGTTTTACATACGTTGTTCAGCAACGTGGACACCTCTAAATGGTGTTGAAAGAGTCACATGCTGTATTTTTAAGATATAATTCCCCCCAAAAATGATATTTCTGTCTTCATGTAATATTTGTGACCGCAAATTCATGAATAACAGGTGATAAAGTTGTAAATAACATTCAGTTTGTGGCACAGAGTGATCGTTGGGAGCCGCGCGGTAAGTGAACCGATCTTAGCAGTGAAAATGAAAACGAAAGCGCACACAGTGTTGCCAGATGTAGCTGACTGATTCTAGCCCAAAAAGTATCCAAAACCCCCCGAAATGCAAAAATACCCACCCAGTCTTCTGTATTCACGAAAATCACGTAAGTGACAGATTTTAAGCAAAAAATACTGATTATAAGCATATGTCTCAAGCACAATAATACAACATCCGAATTATTATCAGCATTAATGACCAGGACAAATCTAAAGTCTGTTCTAGTCCACCATTCCAAGTCTATATAAAAATTAGCATTTTAACCCATAGTAGATCTACATAAAGCCTATTGCTGTTCAACCACATGTTTGAGAATAACAATAATAATAGCCCACTCTTATTACCCTTTATTTTACTACATCTACAGAATCGTGAGAAAATCGTGTTTTTTATTTTAGGCAAAAAAAAAATTGTGATTCTCATTTTAGCCAGAATCATGCAGCTCTAATGCTTAGGGTCATGGTCTGTCTGGAAGACCCATTTATGGCCAAGTTTTAATTTCCTGGCTGATGTCTTAAGATGTTGTTTCAGTATTTCTACATAATGTTCTTTCTTCATGATGCCATCTATGCTGTGAAGTGGACCAGTCCCTCCTGCAGCAAAACAGATCCACAACATGATGCTGCCGCCCCCATACTTCACAGTTGGGATGGTGTTCCTAGGCCTGTAAGCTTTCCCCTTTGTCCTCCAAATGTAACACTGGTCATTATGGCTAAACAGTTCAATCTTAGTTCTATCAGACCAGGGACATGTCTCCAAAAAATATTCTTTTCCCCAGTTTAATTTAGCAAATTGTAATCTGGCTTTTTTGTTGATTCTGGCTCCCAGGTTGTCACAAAAGGAAGAAGTGTGTTTGAGGTTTTCCTTAAATAATATTCTACAGTTTTGCCTCCAATTAACTCAAATGTTGTCAATTAGCAAATCAGAAACTTGCAAAACCTTGACACCATCATATGAGCTTTTTCAGAGGCATAATAATTCTTTTGTATGTAAACTTGACTTTCAAGAAAAGTAATAACAATTTCTCAAAAAATGTCTCTCTCATTATTCTGCCATTAAGCAAAACAGAAACAAATTTGATAATCCTAACTTTCCTAAGAGAAAAAGTTTAGTCACATTAACATCTGACTTTTTTTAATGGTTATGGGCCTTTTTATACAGTGTATGTAAACTTCTGGTTTCAACTGTAAAAATTAGATATTTCAAAAAATGGTGGTAACTGTTGGAAAGCCAATGACTTCCAAAGCAGGAAAAATCAGGAGAAATCATAAATTCCCTGGCAAAATTCTGTTTGTTAAAACAAACAAAAAACTTGATTGATTGTTGCATGGATGCACAGATTTGGTTAAGGTCAAACTGAAGATCGTAATGTTCATGTCTGGGTGTGTTGAATTTTTTCAAGTAACATAAGAGGAAATTTGATCTCATCTGCATGTAAGAGAACATTAAATATATAGTTCAAATCAAAATAAAATACTATTTCTTTAAAAGTCAACCTTCATGAATATTTTATTTTTACTCCTTCAGTCGAGCACTTAAAAAGGAGATATTTTGAAGAATGTTGGTAACTGTTAACCGTTGACTTCCAGAGCAGGAAAAAAATATTCTATGGAAGTCAATTTATTCCAGTTTCAAACATTCTGCAAAATATCTTCATTTGTGTTCAACAAAGCAAAGCAACTCAATCAGGTACAGGATCATAAACTCCTTGGCAAAATTCTGCATGTTAAAACAATAAAAACTCGGCCGATTGTTTGCATGGATGCACAGATTTGGTTAAAGTCAAACTGAAGATCGTAATGTTCGTGTCTGGGTGTGTTGAATTTTGTAAGTCTGTTTTGCATATGAAATCAGAGATGGTAAAACTCACCGGCACGGCATCTTTGACCAGTGCCTTGTCGGTGCTGATCTTGGCTCTCTGCAGGCCGGTGATGTTCTCACCAATCCAGGTGATGAAGGTGAACTTAGAACGCTTGCTCATGGCGTCACCCGTCATTATCCTCACAAAACCAAACACACGGGAGTCCACTGAGAGGCAGAGAGAGAAAGTCAGCATTAAAGAGTAATGACATTTCTGTCATCATTTACTTATACTCAACTTGTTCCAAACATGTTTGAGTTTCTTTCTAACAAAACAAGTTCTACTAAAGAATATTAGTAAAAACAGCAATTGATTTTCTTTTGTTGTTGTTCCTAATATGGATGCCAGTGGCTGGATTTCCCCCACATTCTTCAGAATATTTTGTTTTGTGTTCAACAGAAGAAACTCAAGGAACAGAAGGAGGATCTACAGTTGAAGTCAGAATTATTAGCCCCCCTTTGATTTTTTTTTTCTTTTTTAATATTTCCCAAATGATGTTTAACAGAGCAAGGAAATTTTCACAGTATGTCTGATAATATTTTTTCTTCTGGAGAAAGTCTTATTTGTTTTATTTTGGCAAGAAAAAAAGCAGTTTTAAATTTTTTTAAAACCATTTTAAGGTCAAACTTATTAGCCCTTTAAGCTATATAATTTTTCGATAGTCTACTAGGGTTGGGCGATGTTGACCAATTTGGCATCGTACGATGTCTAATGTGAAACATCGCGATAGACGATGGCATCGTCGTCGTAGGCGGGGGGTGGGGATTGTTGTTAAATATCAATTATTAAATAACGAATTAATTAATTGTAGCCTACCGTTTTCACTACCTGACCCACATGGTCTTTGCTTTACCCATAACTAAACCACAAATAAATAAAGTTACTCACAAATGACCACCTGTCAATCACTTTTTTTCTGTGGGACTCTGGCATGAATAGGCAGTGATCTGTGTCGTTCTAATGACTTTTCCCACGGCTGGTGGAGGAGACGAGAGTTTGTTTGGAGTTCACTGTAATTTGTATTGTGATAACTTCCTTATTTTATTATTATTATTATTATGAGGAAATAACAGCAAGTAAAGATGCTAGGTCTCGACCGTTTTCGTTGCATGTGCACCTGAAATTTTATCTATGCGACCTCAAAATATATTTGGAAGCATTTGGGCGAGTGCATACATTTTCACTGTGTTCACTGTAAAATCCTCACCGCGTGCGTGGATTTAGGAGACATTTATGCAGAATGCATCTTTGCAACTAAAAACGCCAAACACAGCACTCAGGAACAGATTAAAACAGTTGTTGTGTGAAGTAAAAAAAGCCCGCAATGCTTGCCCCGCCTTTGTTCTCTTTTATTGGCCCACTGCTCTAGAACTGAACGCGAATGATTGCTTTATATCAGCTGTCAATCACTCAGTCAATGCCTTCTGCCTTCAGATGACAGGAGCTACAACCGAGGAAGCGCTGACGATGAGAGAATGAAAATAACACTGAAAGATTTACCTACAGTTACTAATCATGGCACATCTTGTTTTAATGAAATTAAACAAATGAGAGCACATTACACCAGTATTAATAGAATTACACTGGTTGCCTGTGCACCAAAGGATAGATTTTAAGATTTATTAGTTTTTAAAGCACTACACAATATGACACCTTCCTACATTTCCGACTGTTTAACAAAATATAATCCAAACCGTTTACTACGCTCTTCTAGTGCTGGACTTTTGGTATTTTATCCTGTAAACCTGATGCGGCACTTCTTTTAGCCATTATGCTCCAAAAATTTGGAACTGTCTCCACCTTGAAGTGAAAGAATCGCCAAGTATTCATGTTTTTAAAAAGCGTGTTAAGACACATCTTTTTAAAATTGCGTATGATTAAACAAGTTTGTTAGGTGTACGCATTTTATCTATTTTGTTGTAGGTTTATGTATGTAATGTATGGTGTGTGCCTGCATATGTAAGGACTATTGTGTGTGTGATCATGTGGATATATACTTACATTTTGTGTACATGAATGCTTTTATTTCAGTATATGTGATAAGTTTTTGTGGTCTATTTTAATGCTTTTGTTGTTGTTTGTGAGGCACTTTGAGTTGCATGTATGTTGGAAAAGTGCTATACAAATAATGTTTATTATTATATTATTATTATTATCTTAGTAGTGATCATGTGCTGAATGTTAATCCATCATTTACATTTTTCCACTTTTATAGTCTACAGAACAAACCATTGTTATACAATGATAGCCTAATTACATTAACCTGCCTAGTTAAACTAATTAACCTAGTGTCTTGAAAAATATCAAGTCAAATATTACATCCGGGTCTGGGCACGCTTACGTCATTGATGATGCGCTGGTCAGTAAGCGCTTTCACTCATTATAGTGGAGATTTCTTTAGTTATATCGGCTTAGTCGTTTGATTTGCAGTGACACGCAGTCAAATATATCGCCGAATAGATCAGCCACTTTTGACGCTCATAAACAATCATAAAGTCCTCATGCTGCAGGAATTAGGAGGTTTGCTGATGTGCAGCTGTCGTGCAGTGAGGGGTTTGTGCCTTTAATAAACTTCGACAATTTGCATTCATTGAACAGTAAGCATGATTAATAAATCCATATGAAACAGTCCCGTAAAAGTCACGTCTCGCTTTCAGTTTCGGGCTCTGGCTCTGCACTCACACACAAACATACGGCGCCAAAGTCCAAGTGAACCGCGCACACTTTTCCAACTGGGCCGGCCAAGTGAATCATGCCTGAGCCCGATTCAGAGCATTCACACTTCTCAAACAATCTGGGAAACGGCCTGGGCACTGTTCGGATAGCATAGTGCGAGTACACCCTTATTTTCTCTATAAAACCCAAGTTAGCCATTTAGCAACAAAGCTAGAGTCACCAAGTAGATAGAAGCCCTGCCCATGATGCGAATCGGTGTCTATTTTGAAGTGAATTTGATGAGCGAATAAAGCGAGTAAACTCAAAATGTTCACATGTCTATATACACGTGAATATCGCGATTTATCCACGTGTATCGCGTCTGGTGTGAACACAGCATAAGGCACGCCTCCAACCAGTGCCTTATATATAATAAATATTATTATAAATGGGGGGCTAAAATAAAACTAACAAAGTAAAGTTTTTTTATTTCAAGTTTCATGTTTGTCATTGTAAATAAAGTATATTTCATAAAGATAAAGTTATAGTTTAGAGGCAGATTATCAGTATATCAATCATTGCATGTGAGTATGTTGATAGTTCATTTAAATAATATAATGAACCATTTCTTGGTCATTTTTATTATTTCAGCAACTGGAATATTTCTCTCTGCGGCTGGTTTGTATTTTATTTAAGTCAACAACATCTTTGTCAACTGATCTTCCAGTGAAACAGGAAATTGAACAAGAAAAGTGAGGCACAGAGCCAAGCTGCTTGGAGGGAAGGGTCTACAACACAAGAGAAGTCCGTGATTTTAGCAATAATATGAACATATTGATTTTAAAGTGATATATTACCCAAAAACAAACCTTCAGTGAGCATTTACTGACCCTGAAGTGATTGTAAACATTTTAGTTTCTTTATCTGTTAAACACAAAAGAAGATATTTCTAAAAATGTTGAAAAACAGTAGCCATTGACTTCCACAGTAGGAAAATACAAATACTTGAAAGCCAATTAGTAGTTTCCAACAATCTTCAAAACAAATCTTCTTTTGTGTTTAATTTGTGCTGAGCAAATGAATGGTGAGTAAATAATGACAGAATTAATAAACAAAAAGAAAGAGTTGGCACTGGAATGAACACTGTCTCCATTGTAGCAAGTGTTTTTGTATGTACACTATTGCATTGTTTTCCTTTCCAGAGAAAAACGTCATGATATGAAATGCAATCTGAGAGCGTCACGTGCGAACCGGGGATGAGGCAGAGAAATTTAAGCTCTATGACATCATATGAAAGACAAGGAACAGAGAAAGCGGGCGAGGTAAGGAGGTGATCATGTTAACAGTCTCCATTGATAAGAGTGATTTAGGGTATTATATAGGATCTGAAACACTCCCAGACTCTCTCGGTTTAACAGCTGTCCACTTCCTCCCCAATGAGCCACAACTGCATTGCAGTGGCACTGGGACTGGATTCAAAAGATAACATCAATTGCTTTGAACAGTGGCATTTAGACAGGAGCTGAGATAATGTTATAAAGAAGAAAACAGTCTTTCACTTATTATTAGTATGTGTCTATGCACTTTGATCTTTATGGATCTGAAAAGATTATATGAAACTAATACCTCCTTATGCCTAACAATTCTAGCAAAATATTTTACTTATAAAATGCATTTTATAAACATATATAATGAATAAAATATTATTATGATTGCTATTGTTATTCATAATAATTTACAAATAATTAATATATACAGTATATTATCTATTTTATTCTTTGTATTTGTATAACATTTTTTTAATTTGGTTATTTTATTCTGGCTATATTTATCAGATTTTATACATGCATGATGTATTAATAATAAATCTAGATTAATATGTTATTTATAATAAATATTTTATTACATGATCTAATTATATCTAGACAGACAGACAGACAGACAGTAAGCTAGATACATGGATAGATAGACAGGTAGATAGACAGGTAGATAGACAGATAGATAGATAGATAGATAGATAGATAGATAGATAGATAGATAGATAGATAGATAGATAGATAGATAGATAGATAGATAGATAGATAGATAGATAGATAGATAGATAGATAGATAGACAGACAGACAACTAGACAGATAGATTTAATTTTTATTATTATTAAGAGAGTTATTATTTTTACCATACAATTATTTATTTGTCTATGTAATACATTACATTGTTTATTTGTTCTATATCCACAATAAATACTTGATTATATTATCTGAAAACAAATGGCTGGGTAATTTTCTTGGTACAAGCCGAGACTGATAATATCTGGTTTTCTGTTGTTGATTAACTGGGCTTAGGCTTTAAGACGCTAAGTCAGGGAACCATGGGTAATTCTGTCAGTTGCGTTTGGCACAGCGACTCTTCAACTTTCAGGAGCAAAGTGTGCAACAAATCAACATCTCATTACAGAGACCCCTGGTGCATCTTAACAGAACTGAAACCTCCAACAAACCACATTTAGGAAGTGAGCAGTGCCTGTCATGTGTCGACATGTCGTGCACTTGGATTCTAGTAAAAAGGAGAAAGACATGCTGTTTATTTTACGATTGTATAAAAATGCTGCTATTGCCATTTTCGCAATGCTTCACACACTTCGACTTCCTCTCGAGTGAGCACTTCTGAAGAAATCACTTCCAGAAAGTCAGTCTATTTGTGCTAACTTTGTGTGTACTCCACTATGAGGATGACACAGCTCTATAAATACAAATATTTTTTAAAAATTATACATCTTTTACACATCGCCTATTAGATGTAATGAAATGCGGAATGCATCTGAACGAATGTGACCTGCTATTTAATCTTCAAACAGTTTGACCTAGTTTTCAGAAACCCAATTTGGGTTTTGTGCTCTTAAGAAAAAAAGAAAGTTTCCAAATGTAAATAAAAGTAATAAAATGGATCAAAATATTTAGGAAATATAAAAAGATACTGTTCATATATTGTCAAATAATAATGAAACTTCTATATAAAACAACAAATTTGCTGTTCTTTTTATTTTTTTATTTTTGTCTTGTCTGTTATATATTATGAAAATCGCAAAAGCCATAATAAGCATAGATGGCCAATCAAAATAACTGAATTTAAAAATCTAATTAAATTAAATTCTAAATAAAATTAAATGCTGGATAAAACGGTTTACGGGCAGCTGGGGTTTGTAAAAATAACATTAACTGAAATTACAGTATATAAAAATCTAACTCAGCGCAAATAATTCAAGTAATCAAAGACTTTCTCATTTTAGTTTTGTTTGGTTTCATTTTATTTTAGCTTTATGTTCTAAAATAGCTAAATCTACACTAAAATTGTAAACTATAAAAGACATCTACTAGAATTTAAATGCAAACTGTAAACATACTAATAAAAAATGAGTTCAAACTGCTAATAAGAGCAACATTAGCATCTTAATGAAACCTAACACTGATTTACATTCAATTTGCATAAGTATTTCCTAAGTAAACTTCACGACTTAAGTTTCTGAAAATGTTCTCAACCAATCAACGGGCGTGCAGTAACATTAAGGAAGACATCTTTGATTATCCGTCAAAGTGCAGTGCCGGAAGCCATGATATTGCAACATTTGGGCAGGTTTACATCTGCTTACTCTCAGAGACTAAACCAAGCACCACACCCAGATCTGCTCTTTTGCTGTGGCATTTCATTCTCTCATTAGAGCTACACAGTTATTTACCGTTAAATTTCAAAATACAATTCATAATAGCTCAACAGATAAAAAATAAATAAAATAACACAGATATATTATTAAAATAAATATAAAATTGACTTCTGGTTGATTTACTGATTACAACTGTGATTTTATTTACTAAAAGCCTCTCAGTAAACTTCTCTCCCTCCAGCCATGTCATGTTATCAAGCCTAAAACCATATTTGGTATGGTCTGCAATGGAATATGAATGACTTCCTATCATGTGTTATGTCAAACTTAAAGGCACAGTTCACTTAAAAATGAAACTGCTGTTTCAAACCTTGTTTATTTCTTCTGGGGAACTCACAGATCACTCTTATTGATTTTCCAGAGTCCAAAATTTGTCCTGAAAGACCACTAACTTGCAAAGTTTAGCTCCAACTTGCGTCAATAAATCTATCAGTAAGTTTCTAGTAAGATTTGCTGGTTCAAGTGTGTTTAATTCGGGTAATATCCAAACTATTGGATTGGGAGCAGGATTAGACACCCTTTAAAATATTTAGGTGAATGGAGTCATTTCTCAATATCGAAGGAAGACATGTTTGGAAAAACAAGTGGCGAAAAGATTATGCCACTTGAAATTTTCCACCTTTATGCTTTGCAGAAATGCATATTAAACAACATTCAAGACAAGACAGGTAAACAGCACTCACCTGTACACTGGCTCTTGAATTCTTCATAGTCGGACCCATGCCCGCCTGGTACAATTGTAGATCCGTCATACTTAAAACATGCCCTTTAAACATCAAATATGACATTATTAACAGTGGACACAATTATTATAATGCGTCAAAATCTAACCAGCAGCCTCCCTAGATTTATTTTGTCGCCTAGGTAGGCAGCAAACTAGATTTTGAAACACAACCCAAGGGTTAAAAGACCCATCCCTACATGTTGCACTACATCCCGTGTCAATGAATGAAATAACGCTACAATGTATCGTTCTAAATTCGAATTCGGTCTATTTTCTGAAACAATGTAACGAGTTCCGTTATCGAATACTGTGGATGTGCGGCAAATCAAGGCTTGACTCACCAGCATATACCTGAGCTGTCGTCTCGCACCAGATTGTATGCCTCTCTGCAAGCCTCTTTGTCAATTCGTGTTGCCATTTCGACGATGCAAAGGGAGATAATGTGTCTAAATGCAGAACAAAGCCGGGGGTATGAGAGAAAAAGCGAGATAAATCCCAAAGTGCGACAGAGGGGCTGCTGGTGTGCCGGAGAGGTCTCTTCTCTCAGTGGGATGGAGAGGCAACTAATTTCACGACTCGATTCATTTCCTATTGCTCTTAATGGGCGTTAGTGATATTCGTCTGTCAGGTTGCTGTTCCAGTGAATCGCAGAGCTCGGGTTCACCTCCTCCTAATGGCCAACCTGGGTATTGAGTCACATTAAATCCGCCCAGTTCTGTTCTATCGATGGTTTGAATTACTCTGCCATCTTGTGGACTTTGTTGGGTTCACGTTGAATTTTTGAATAAGAACAATGACTTGCTGTTATTTTTAATATTTTCGCACCCGAGGATTCAACTAAATTAAACACACGATACAATTGAGAAGTAAATTAAAAATACAAATATGTCCAAATCTCGATTAAAAACAAAATTTAAAAAAAACTAAACAAGCAGATAAATATGAACAAATAATGCAAATTGGATTTAAACATAAGAAATATTTTTAAAAATAAATAAATAAAAGGCATATTTTATATATTAACTACAGTGAGTTTGTTCCATGGTTTCTTAAGGGAGAATGTGATAGCAAAAAGTGACTTTAATTTTGAAATAAGCCTTACACGGAAGCTTTACCGTGCTACTCTCAAACGAATTCTCCACTCAGGGGCATTTAATAAGACTTTAATATGGCCAAATAATAGAAATATGGTTAAAAAAAAATCTGAAATTTACTATACACTTGTTGTCAAAGCTGTAGCGATAAATGATGTCCATTTATATTGAAAATCCGCGAAACAGTTACGAATTATTGTGCAAGAGGCTTTTCCTTTGGTACTGAGCTTTTGTCTTTAATTAGTTTAAACGTTGTAAATGTTTATAATAACTTGTGTTTACTTTTCAAATTATTCCGATCATTAATTTTGATTGTGCTGTTTTGCAGATAGTTATGTCAGATGACACAATGGAGATTGGAAAGCAAACTCGTCTGTCACGTCCACACAGATTAAGTGAATCTTCAAAGGTATGCATGACTGTTATTATTCTTAATTATCAGTAAGAACATTATATATATATATACATACTGGGTCAAGATTACAACTCTGGATAGCAAAGTTGTTGGTGGTTCTCTTGAAATTTCATTAATAGTCATGCTATGTGTTTAAATCAAAATGTTATTTGTAGTTTTTTATATATATAAATTCTGTAAACTACATATATGTTTTCCTTAAAATTTCAGATAAAACAAATAGGACTTGGAGTATTGGAAAAGATATATGCGTTTCAGTAATTTTAAGGCCTAAATTTATTTTGACCTGATATCATGTTCTGCAAATAAATGCAAAATTTCTTGCCTGACATTTTCAAGACACATTATCTGTATTATTAGTAAGATTTTATTGAAACACACACCTATTAATAGCAAATCCAGAGAACCAATAATTACTTAAAAGTGCTATCATAGATAAGTAAAATATGGAAACGCATTGGCGATGTGGTAGCCTAGTGGCTAGCACATTCGCCTCACAGCAAGAAGGTCACTGGTTCGAGCCTCGGCTGGGTCAGTTGGCTCTTCTGTGTGGAGTTTGCATGTTCTCCCTTTTTCCACCGGGTGCTCTGGTTTCCCCCACAAGTCCAAAGATATGTGCTATAGGTGAATTGTGTAAGCTAAATTGTGCGTAGATATTGTGCATAAAGCATGTGCTGCATAAGTTGGCAGTTCATTCCGCTGTGGCAACCCCAGATTAATAAAGAAGAAAATGAATGAATGGAATCATATTAAAAATATATAATGAATGCTTTAATAGAATAAAAGTAATTAAATTGATGGACAATACTATATATAATTTTTTATATAAATAATAATAATGTTTAAATAGTTATCATAATTCATTAACTTTTATTGTTACATACCCAATAATTGCATTATTATCAATAAACATTTTAAAATGCTTTAAGTTAAATTTACAGGTTTTTTGCACAATAAAAATAATATAAATAGTACTGTCACATGATAAAAACTCTTGTTATGCTGGTCTGAAAAATTTATTTGGCATATCAACATCACATGATGACCAGAACAAATCTTATGCATCCAGACTGAACAGTGCCCATAAAGAGTAAATGAACTAGTGCTGTTAGAATGATGGGGGGAAAATCATATTATCTTTTAAAGTTTCTTTCAATTGTCCTCATAATCACCAGGTGTATCGATGGGCAGACCAAGCTAACAACCTCCTGCAAGGCTTAAATGAGCAACGACAGCATGGTCAAATGTGTGATGTGGTACTGGTAGCTGATGACCAGCGGATTCCTGCACATCGGGCTCTACTCGCTGTATCCAGTCCTTACTTCCAGGTAGGCTTAAATTTTGTTTGCTGCAATAAATAGCTGAAGCTTTTATCATGGAATGTGTCATTATTACAATATTTACCTAAGCTGCTAAAAAGGCTACTTTAACAGGTATAATAACTAAAAAATACTTTGTGTATTGCTTTACTGTATATACATATCAGGAGTAAATACATTTAAAAAAACAAATTAAATAGCAAAATGACGATAAAGTAGTGTAACACTTTGTAATAAAGTCTCATTGGTAAATGATAGTTAATGCATTAAAATCAAAGTTAATATAAAAAGTATGGCGCCACTTTATAACTGCTATGTACTTGCATCAGAAAATAAATACAATGTACTTACTGTGTTCATAAAGTATTGCAGAAGACTTCTAGTGTTCTTATGATGGGACATGGGTACGGTTAGGGACAGGTTTGGTGATATGGGTGGGTTAAAATGTAAGGGGTGATCAGTTATATAAATTGTAAATGTAATTACAGACATTCATTACAGATGTAATGACATACAGGTATTTAATCAATCATAAGTGCAATCTAAAAACATAATTTACACAATAATTGTAACATTTTATTATTCCAGTGTAAGAACATTAATTAAGGCCACTTAATATTAAGTGGGACCAAAAATACAACTAAATTGTATTAGTTATTAACTCTATTTAACAATTATGACATTTAAGATATTAACATCACGATTCATTAAGATTAATGCTTTACATTGACCTTAGTTAAATTAACAGATATTAACTACAGTTGAAATGAAACTTTATATAATCTAGTACCAAATTCACAATAATATATATAAGTTAAAAGTTATATTCTTTGATTTTTCATTATAGAATTTAATTTCAAACTCTAGCAGCCCAGGTGACAGAGACATTAAACCTATTGCCTTCTTGAGCTCTGACAGATCTCATGAAAATGCTATAAGCAGGGTCTCAGAGACTGTGGCTGCATCTGAAATCGCATACTTCCATACTTGTATAGTACGTTAAAATCAGTATGTGAGTCAAGTAGTACAGTATGTCCGAATTCAAAGAATTCGAAAATCAGTATGAGAGAAGTACCCGGATGACCTACTACCTCCGGCGAGATTCTGAAGTGCTTATCCCATGCATGCTGCACTATACCATGATGGCCCACGACAGAATTCATAAATGGGAGTGAAGCGACGCAACTCACGAGGGTAGGTCACGTGACCATGACAAAATGGCGATTATAGTACATCCGAATTCCATTCATACTGCTCACATTCAGACTTCACAGAACGTACTTTTCTAATGTCCGAGTAGTACGTTTAAATTAAAATGAAGTATCTACTGAGTAAATGGCGCTTTCAGATGCAACCTGTGCGTTTGTCTCTGCATGATACGTTCAAGCTAGTCAGGGCAGGTGAAAACTCAAAAGATTTATTCAAGACCCTGAAACAAGATTTTCAACTAAACTTGTCATGCCCGTTTTCTATACACTGTCCCTTCTAAAACACATAATAGACAGGACGACTCTGTCTCAGATCAGACTTGTTTTAGACTTGCAGACTCATTTAGACCTGTAAGACTTTTTGAAGATGCTGTTTGACTGCAGAACAACATGTCTTAATAAAGAATTCTGTTTGTAACGAGTCTCCTGGCTTGAGTTCTTCAGTAGCCAACACTACTGAACCTTACTTGGCAGAGTTATCAAACTAAAAGGTTTTAAATGTGATGAACAACCATGTCCAATCCATCAATCTGAACATTCTTAATACACACTATAACAATAATTATTTACAGCATTTTTAAGCGCCCATTATATAAAAATTGTCTTTGTTTATTGTTATGATATATTGAATTATTGAATATCGGCATATGTCTTCTTTCAGGCCATGTTCACCCTGGGCATGCGGGAGGAACACGAGTCTGAAATAGAGCTAGTAGGAGCCTCCTATGTTGGCGTTAAAGCCGTAATAGACTTCCTATACAGCGGCAATTTACCTCTCGACGGAGGAAACATCGATTACGTCCTGGAAACAGCTCACCTTCTGCAAGTGTGGCAAGCTGTGGATTTCTGTTGTCAGTATTTAGAAAAAGAGGTACGTGAAGACAACTACCTGTACCTTCAAGAACTCGCCTTGCTATACAGTCTAGATCGGCTGGATGCCTTCATAGACAGATTTATTTTGAAACATTTCAGCACACTTTCCATCACTTCCGAGTTCCTCCAGGATGTGCGGATGTTCAAGCTTTGTGCTTACCTTTCCAGCGAACAAGTGCAATGCCTAAACGAGGAAACTCTTTTTGAGGTTGCCTTTAAGTGGTTGAAACAAAAACCTGAACGTCTTGAATTCGCCCTTCAGCTCCTTTCCAACATTCGTTTCGCTCTCATCCCGTTTTATTTACTAAAATATTATGTTTTGCCTAACGTACATTCCCTGCTGCCTCTGGACACAAGCTGCAAGGTGTTAGTTGAGGAAGCAATAGACTACCACAGGAAGCTCAGCGCTCAGCCTGTAATGCAGACACAGCGAACAGGCCTTCGTGGAGGTGTGGAGTGTCTGCTGCTGCTGGGAGGAGAAGTGTCCGAGCGTGGAGAAGGTTTGAGTGCTGAGGTTTGCTGGCTGGATGAAGAAGCAGGGAAGTGGGTTGAGGAGACTAAGATGCCAGCGCCAAGGAGTCAGCATTGTGTGGCGGTTTTGGGTGGATTCATTTTCACAGCCGGTGGGAGCTGCTCACCGGACAACGGGGGAGATTCTGCAAGTGACATGCTGTATCGGTACGATCCCCGGAGATGCCATTGGATCAAGGTGATTTGTTTGTCTGCTGACTGTTTGGATAGTTTGTGACATTTAAGTTTTAGCTGTAATGTTCCAGGGCGGATTTTGGCAGTAGCTGGTCTAGCTTCAAAGGCTACTCCTCACTGTTGCATACAAAAGACGAAGTAAAAGAGCGGGTGATCAAGTCAAAGAGGTGGGGTCGGGGTGGGGTTCAGAACCTGATAGTATTTCTGGGGGCCCAAAAATGTGTGGGTCCTTTGAATAGTCCTAACTTACCCTATTTAGCAGTGCCCCTGCTCCAGGGTATGACTAAATGGTTGCATTTTTTTATTGAGAGCAAATGACTAACAGAATATTTAATATAAATTCATCCATCCATCCATACATACCTTTGTCTATTCATCAACCCATACAACCATGCATATTTTTGTCCGTCCATCCAGCCTTTCATCTATCCATATTTTGTCCATCCATCCATCCATATCTTTGTGCATCCATCCATATCTTTGTCTATCCATCCACCCATTTGTCCATCCATAGTTTGTCCATCCATCCATCAATCCATCCATCCATCCATATTTTTGTCCACCCATCCACCCATTCATCTATCTACATTTTGCACATCCATCCATTCTTCCATCCATCCATCCCTCCATTTCTTGTTAGTTAGTTTTTTGTATTAATACAATTATATACCCATCCACCCCTTCACTTACCCACCCACCCACCTATTCATCCACCCACCCACCTACCTATTTATCCACCCACCCACCTGTTCATCCATTCATATTTTGTCCATACAATCAATTCTTGTGTAAATAAAATTAGATATCCTTATATATATATATATTACATTAAAATTATGTTATATATCCAGTTAATTACAATTTTAATTAGAAACAAAATGAAAAACCCATAAAACAGTGAAAAGAAAATACAAAAACAGAACAGATTAATAAAAATAAACTAGAAGCAAAATGTAATTCTAAATATTAATGCATATATTAATGCATATTATAATATATAATATTATTCAAACTAAAATAACTGAGACATAACCTATTTTCAGTTTTCAGAAATAATACCTTTTCAGTGTTAAGTATATATATATATATATAGATTCATTAAGATTAATTTATATATAATACAGTGCTTAGCATTATTGAGTACACCTCATTTGGAAAATTAATGTTTTTATCCATTTCTCAGTAAATATAGGCAACATATTTTTTCCATATTTAAAAATTGAAAGATATTACAATTAAATTCAAGCCAAACATTGCAAATACAATTTCAACCTACAATATTTCAACACATTTTTAAATTTTAATTTTTTTGCTTCTTATATTTTTTTCCTTTTTAAAATTTGTATTTAATATTTTTCTATACCTTATAAATTTTGGCGTACAAATTTTTTGGTCCGTTATCTTAAGTTATTTTGTTAGATAAGCTCCTGATTTGGTTTCAGTACTGACTAATCTAATATACAGTTGAAGTGAGAATTATTACCCTTGGCAAGGAAAGTTTCACAGTATGTCTGATAATATATATTTTTTTTTTCTGGAGAAAGACTTCATCGTTTTATTTCAGCTAGAATAAAAGCAGTTTTTAAATTTTTTTAAACCATTTTAAGGTCAAAATGATTAGCTCCTTTAATCTAGTTAAGTCTTTAAATGTCACTTTAAGCTGTATAGAAGTGTCCTGAAAAACATCTAGTAAAATATTATGTACTACTGTCATCATGACAAAGATAAAATAAATCAGTTATTAGAAATTAGTTATTAAAACTATTATATTTAGAAATGGGTTGAAAAAAATCTTCACTCTGTTAAACAGAAATTGAGGAAAAATTAAACAGGGGTGCTAATAATTCAGAAGGGCTAATAACTCTGACTTCAACTGTATACTGTATGCACAAATATAATATTGTATAGCTTCCTATTAAAAATATGAATTTAAAAGATAGATTTGTGACTTGTGAGGTGTGTACTTATATATATGCTAAGTACTGTAGATTATATTTATTTATTTTTTACAAAAGTAAATTGATATACACCCTATAAATTTCATAGGGTGTCCTAACTTTCACATGACTATTAACTCTATTTTTTGACAGAATTGAGCGAGTTTGAATGTTGATCTTTCCATTTGCAGGGTGCTCCTATGAACCAACGGCGTGTGGATTTCTATCTAGGAACCATGGGAGAGTGTCTTATTGCTGTCGGGGGACGCAATGATAGCGGACCTTTGTCTTCTGTCGAAGTGTATCATCCTGCTGATGACCACTGGACCTACGTTGCAGAATTACCCAAGTTTGTTGTGTGTTTTAGATATTACTTCCTAGCAATGCTAGGCAGTTTGTATGGAAATGTATTTTAATATGTACCATTTAATAGTACAGTAAGATATTTGATAATCAAAATAAATAGTTTTTATTCAGATTGGTCATTAAATTAGACATCTGCATGTAAAAGATCTAAATAAATGCTGTTCTTTTGAACTTTTATAACTTTGTGTTTATTATTCTAATAGAAAGTATTACTGTTTTCTTTCATAGATTCACATATGGTCATGCAGGCACCATCCACAAGGGCATCGTCTACATTTCAGGGGGTCATGATTACCAGATCGGTCCATACAGACATGACATGCTAAGTTATGACCCTAAAACTGCAGATGCATGGAATGAGTGCCAGGCCATGATCTTGGCACGAGGCTGGCACTCAATGGCATCTCTAGAGGACAGAATTTATGCCATTGGGGGTAGTGATGACCATGAGGACAGCATGGAGCGTTTTGATGTGTTAGAGGTGGAAGCGTTTGACCCGCAGACCAATCAGTGGACTATGATTGCTCCTCTCAGGTATGCTAGCAGTGAGGCTGGTTTAGCAGTGCTGAATAGAAAGATCTATGTTTTGGGAGGTTATAGCTGGGAGGCCATGGACTTTTCACAGGGCACTCAAGTGTTTGATCCAGACAAGGAACAGTGGACTTTGGGTCCAAATCTGCCAAAGCATATTGCTGGACCTTCGTGTGTGTGTCTTATAAAACCTGAGCTAATCGATAGTATAGACACTGAGTGAGACAAACATAGCTCCAATCAGGAGCAACATAAGTGATTGACTGGGTGTCTTCTTCTAAAGAACTAAACTATTAAAACTTGGGTTGTCAAGACAAAATCGATTGGATGCTTCTCAGAGCCTTTAAAAAAAGGTCAGAAGACAATACTGTGCTGTCAGGCCTTGAATAGAAGCATAAACTAACTTTGTAGGTTTTCTTACAGTTTTTTTTTTTTAAAGATGTCTTTGATGTTTGATTTGCATTTAAAACATCGTTTATTCAAAAAAGAAATCTGGTTAAAGGATATCAGCAGTTTGGAGAGTCAAGAAGCATATACAGGCAAAACAAAATTAATATGTGTGGGTTCTGATGATACATTGAGATAATATAAAGTGAAATGGTCAAGAAACTCAACAATATTTACAACATTACCTGTACACTGCAGCCTTAACAAACAGCCCTGAGCATGTTCACAGTTCATGAAACGCTTGAACTGTTTCAGGTAATAATCTTCTTTAAAGAGTAAAGAAAACCTTTAGGCGAAGTCTACCTCAGAGATTTTTTGTTAAAATACAACTTAAGTGTGCATGGAAAGCTGTGAGCAGAAGGTTGGGGAGTGGGTGTGGTGGAGCAAAGCAGGGGAGAAAGAGGAGAGGGTAACCGTCATCTGCCAGTGGCCCATACTGACTCTGACTCGTGAGGAAATGCTAAATTTTTATATTTAAAGAATACTTATTTTAACATTTAGACAGACATTAAGCAGATTTGAAGGGACAGAAGTGTCCTTGGCCACTTGAGTGTTTGAAAGTTGGGTCTCAGTGTTTGAATGCCGTGTCAATTTACTGACTGATCTGCTGATAGACGTGGCTTTCAAATACTCTACTGTCTGCCTGCATCCCTTGTAAACCTGTGATCATTAGAGCCCATCACTTTAGAGTCATATCAATCAATCAGCAGTGTTTAATAATCCTCTCAGCAGCGCTCAAAATGCAAGTGGGAAGTGCTGTAATCAGTACATATTTTTAAATTTAGTACATGCTCAAAGAGTTTGCCACATCTGACAACACGGCCCAACCTCCACCATGACCCATCATGAATGCCTAATTACTGTCTGTTTGGTCTTGCAACTTGACCAAACATTTCTTCTCACAGGATAACAAAACTCAGTCTAATGTCATCATACAGTGTACTCGAGTATGTCCTATGCTAAATCACCAGAAATGACACGGGCCCAATATAAATTTCAAACACAGAAGATGAAAATATGAGGGAAAGCTGAAATTTAGCTAGTTATTCCCTACAATTAAAGCTAACAGATGCTAATGTTGTCTTAAATGTTCAAGACACACAAATCTGTGCATTTAGTCCAGAGGTTCATGAACCTTTAATGTTCTAATGGAAAATAAGTTCATCTTTAATGACCAGAGAATGAGCAAATAATAGCACATTTAAATCAGCTAACAATCCCATTAACAACAATACCAGTCAGATTTTTAATTATTAATTTGTTTTATTTTTACTTTTAACAGGCAAGGACAATGATGATGTACAATATAATGTTACAAAAGATTTCTTATCAAAGTTTAGCTGTCCTAGTTGTCCTGAAAAAAAGTATCGGTGTTCGCAACAATAGTAATTAGTGCAACTGTTTCAGCATTCATCATTGTTTCTTAAGAACCAAATCAGCATATTAAAAAGGTTTCTATAAAACTCACCACATTAATAAATTACATTTTAAAATACATTTAAAGTATTATTTTTACATTTCTGTTATTTCAAACAGTATTTCACTGATCATTAACATTTGAATGTTATTGTATACCTTAATGCTTATCGTGTGAATCTAATATGCTGCATTTTATAGCAATGCATTAAAATCTCTTCCAGAAGTGCTTGACCATTGATTTTCCTATGTGGGTTCTTTGTCATCCAAGACTAACAGCATTTTACTTGAAGGGGTAGAAGTAATGTGCTTCCAACCTAAAGAGCAATAACACCATACTGTTAATTACTATCTTGGAAACACTGTTATTCCTGTTTGCAATCAGATCACTGTTTATGTACCCACATTAACTTGTGCAAAATTTTGTATTGTTTCATACAGAGCAGTTTATTTATTTTGACCTTTATTTCCAAATGAAAAGGTTGGAAGCAATATTGACTGAATTTTAACATCCCTTGTTTGATTTGGGATGTTACATTTTAAGCATAACTTAAATGCAAAATAAGAAAAAAAATCATCTTGAAAGGTTTATCGTTGCATATTATATGCTGTTTACATATGCATGACAATGTACTTGGACTGTTTTGTGTAAATGCCTCCTTGACCTTTACTATTAAAATAACTGAATTCAATATACTCTTACTCTGTTATGATGCAGGCCCTCCAGCCTCTATTCAAAGACTTAAGAGCATTCATATCCTCTTCATCCAGAGTGAAATCAAAGATCTGCGTCCACCCATAAAGTACACAAACACAACTGTTTATTAAGCTTATTGTAGCTTAATTTTATTTAGTATCATATGATATATCAGGATGAAACCATGAGTTACCAGCTGACAGCTTTAGGTGAAATAAATTAAATGTACAGTACATAATATTTGGAGGTTTACCTTTGTGTTCTCCAAAATATGGTGGGGTTTTACGCTCTTTGGGATCACTGCAATGTCCTGTTGAATGTGATAGCGCAAGAGAACCTGCAGGAGGATTAATTCAAAGATTAAACCCTTAAAATAAAACACATAATCTATGATAGCACTCTCTCAAAAAAAGCATTTATTTTTCTTCAACACAATTAAGAACCATTTTAGAAATCCTTAAATACCATTTCAGTACACAGTTCCTTACTAAACGTAATTGTGTAGTCTAACAATTTAATAATCCAAGGAAACATTTACTACTTTAAATAATGTATTATCTAATACAACGATTAAACTGATTTTAAATTAGAGTAGAAAAAAGTGGACAAAATATAAAAGGTTTCATTGGCATTGAGTAAATTATAACCTGGGCAGGAGTCCGCCTGTGCTTTCTGGCTACATCAACAACAACAGGATCCTCCAGCAGTCCCATTGGATCCTTGTCTCCTGTTTGGCTGCAGAGGTAAGATAATAAAAGTAGGTTATTGTAGTACAACCATGCTAACCACAAATTCACCATAGTTTAGCAACACTGACCATAGTTTAACAATGGTATTAGTAGTAAAACTGTGCTTATACATATGATAATCACACCAGTGTGCCTAAAACAAGGTACACTGCAATAAAACACATTTCATAAATAGCTTTGGTCAACTATAAGAGATGATAAAAAGACATATTGCTTTGAACTCAACAATTCTAAAGGTCTCCCAGGTGAACCAAACGGGCTATGGGCTGTTAAAGCAATGTTCTTGGATTTACAGTAGTCTATCAGATCAGACTGAACCAGGTACGGATGTAGCTCCACCTGTAGACACAACAAAATTGACAATATTATTAAGTTACCGAATATTTCTCATGTTTGAATATCTATATGTTGACTCATGGTTCGTATTATTATTCTTTTTTCTTCCAAACCGCATTTGTTGTTGTGATAGCCCTGCTAAAAAAACAGCTTAAACCAGCCTAGGCTGGTTGGCTGGTTTTAGCTAGTCAAATGGCTGGAAACCAGCCTAGAAATAGCCAAAAGCCCTCTAAAACCAGCCAACCAGCCTAGGCTGGTTTAAGCTGGATTTTTCAGCAGGGAAACCATTGTAAAACCATTGTAAAACGATGGTAAAACCATTGTAAAACCATTGTAAAACGATGGTAAAACGTTCGTAAAACGATTGTAAAACGATGGTAAAACCATTGTAAAACAATGGTAAATCCATTGCAAAACGATTGTAAAACCATTGTAAAACCATTGTAAAACCATTGTAAAACGATGGTAAAACCATTGTATCCCTGCTGAAAAAAACAGCTTAAACCAGCCTAGGCTGGTTGGCTGGTTTTAGCTGGTCAACCAGGCTGGTTTCCAGCCAGTTCTTAGCTGGTCAGGCTGGGAGATGACCAGCTAAAACCAGCTTGACCAGCCTAGCCAGGCTGGGAGCCCAGCCAAAACCAGCCATGTCCAACTTAAACCAGGCTGGTCAAGCTGGTTTTAGCTGGATTTAGCTGGTCATTTTCCAGCCTGACCAGCTAAGACAAAGCTGGAAATGGCTGGAAACCAGCCTGGAAATAGCCAAAACCCCTCTAAAACCAGCCAACCAGCCTAGGCTGGTTTAGGCTGGATTTTTCAGCAGGGAAACCATTGTAAAACAATTGTAAAACGATGGTAAAACCATTGTAAAACCATTGTAAACTGATTGTAAAACGACTGTAAAACGATGGTAAAATCATTGTAAAACGATAGTAAAACTATTGTAAAACGATGGTAAAACCATTGTAAATTGATGGTAAAACCATTGTAAAATGATTGTAAAACGATTGTAAAACCATTGTAAAACGATTGTAAAACAGTAGTAAAACGATTGTAAAACAGTTGTAAAACGATTGTAAAACGATGGCAAAACCATTGTAAAACCATTGTAAAACGATGGTAAAACCATTGTAAAACCATTGTAAAACAGTTGTAAAACGATTGTAAAACCATTGTAAAACGATTGTAAACTGATTGTAAAACCATTATAAAACGATGGTAAAACAATCGTAAAACGATTGTAAAACGGTTGTAAAACGATGGTAAAACCATTGTAAAACCATTGTAAAACGATGGTAAAACCATTGTAAAACGATGGTAAAACGATCGTAAAACCATTGTAAAACTATTGTAAAACGATTGTAAAACGATGGTAAAACGATTGTAAAACCATTGTAAAACCATTGTAAAATTATGGTAAAACGTTCGTAAAACGATTGTAAAACCATTGTAAAACCATTGTAAAACGATGGTAAAACCATTGTAAAACGATTGTATAACGTTAGCGCACCTGATTAACCGCCGGCGGGATTTTGGCGACAGATAACAGTCTGTCTATTTGCTCCATTGTAAAGTTCGACACGCCGATACTTTTCACCTTTCCTGTGGCTTTCAACGCTTCCATTCCCTGAAACAGATGACAGAACACTCTAAACACCTTAAGGACATTATTAGCAAGGTATTTACAATATGTTTAGTTTTTAATTTTAGCGCTAGCGTTAGCATTACCCTCCACACATCCACATAGTCTATGTCAGTTGTGAGGATCTTTCCATCCCTCTCTGGAAAAAGCTCATCACCCACTTTCTGTGTATTAATGTTAAGTGACAAACAATTAGAAAAGCTTAACTCAATACAATATGACTACAGTATGTTAGGTTAGGATAATTAGTAAAATAACTTTTGATACCACTGCTGAAAAATCTAGCTTAAACCAGCCTAGGCTGGTTGGCTGGTTTTACCTGGTCATCTCCCAGCCTGACCAGCTAAGACCAGGCTGGAAATGGCCAAAACCCCTCTAAAATCAGGCTGGTTTAAGCTGGATTTTTCAGTAGGGTATGCTAGAAGCTAGAAAGACTGCAGATCATTGTATATGCTGTCATTGATAAATGTTCTGTTGGAAATGAATCTGGGCACTTAAAATGGACGAATGACGCTTTATTATTATTTCATAATTTGTTTGTTTGTTTGCTTGCTTTAC